CCCAAATCCCCTCAAAATCCACCCAAATCCACACAAATCCCCTCAAAATCCACCCAAATCCCCTCAAAAGCCACCCAAATCCCCCCAAAATCCCCTCAAAATCCACCCAAATCCGCCCAAATCCCCTCAAAATCCACCCAAATCTGCCCAAAATCCCCCTAAATCCACCCCAAAATCCACTCAAATCCCCTCAAAATCCCCGCCCCCAAATCCACCCTGAATCCCTCCTAAATCACCCCTAAATCCAACCCAAATTCCCCCAATCCACCCAAGTCCACCCCAGATCCACCCCAAATCCACCTAAACCACCCGAAATCCCCTAAGAATCACCCCCAAATCCCCTAAGAATCACCCCCAAATCCACCCAAAATCTGCCCAATCACCCCAAATCACCCCAATCATCCCAAAATCCACCCAAAATCCAACCCAAACCCACCCCAATCATCCCAAAATCCCCTCACAATCCCCTCGAAACCCACCCAAATCACCCCAAAATTCCTGGGGACCCTGGGGTGGCACAGGGGACACAGAGAGAGGGGACAGGGGCACCCCAGGGTGGCACAGGGACCCCGGGGTGGCACAGGGGACACAGATAGAGGGGACAGGGGCACCCCAGGGTGGCTCAGGGGACACAGAGCCGGGGTCTCGGGGTGCCACCCCCCTCCCGTGTCCCCCCGTGTCCCCCCGTGTCCCCTCACCGGGCAGGCACTGGGTCATGATGGTGAAACCGATCCAGGAGCCGACCTGGGGGGACAGATGGGGGGGTGGGAATGTCACCCATGGGTGTCACCTTCGGGGTGTCACCTCTGGGGGTGTCACCTCTGGGGGTGTCACCTTTGGGGTGTCCCCCAGGGCTGTTCCCAGTGTCCCCAGGGCTGTCACACCCCCCCCAGGTGTCCCCATGTCCCATCCCCCCCCATGGCCATGTTGTCCCCCAGGGGTCCCCAGGGCTGTCACCCCCCCCCCAGGTGTCCCCAGGGCTGTCACCCCCCCCCCAGGTGTCCCCAGGGCTGTCACCCCCCCCCCAGGTGTCCCCAGGGCTGTCACCCCCCCCCCAGGTGTCCCCAGGGCTGTCACCCCCCCCCCAGGTGTCCCCAGGGCTGTCACCCCCCCCCCAGGTGTCCCCAGGGCTGTCACCCCCCCCCCAGGTGTCCCCAGGGCTGTCACCCCCCCCCCAGGTGTCCCCAGGGCTGTCACCCCCCCCCCAGGTGTCCCCAGGGCTGTCACCCCCCCCCCAGGTGTCCCCAGGGCTGTCACCCCCCCCCCAGGTGTCCCCAGGGCTGTCACCCCCCCCCCAGGTGTCCCCAGGGCTGTCACCCCCCCCCCAGGTGTCCCCAGGGCTGTCACCCCCCCCCCAGGTGTCCCCAGGGCTGTCACCCCCCCCCCAGGTGTCCCCAGGGCTGTCACCCCCCCCCCAGGTGTCCCCAGGGCTGTCACCCCCCCCCCAGGTGTCCCCAGGGCTGTCACCCCCCCCCCAGGTGTCCCCAGGGCTGTCACCCCCCCCCCAGGTGTCCCCAGGGCTGTCACCCCCCCCCCAGGTGTCCCCAGGGCTGTCACCCCCCCCCCAGGTGTCCCCAGGGCTGTCACCCCCCCCCCAGGTGTCCCCAGGGCTGTCACCCCCCCCCCAGGTGTCCCCAGGGCTGTCACCCCCCCCCCAGGTGTCCCCAGGGCTGTCACCCCCCCCCCAGGTGTCCCCAGGTGTCCCAGGTGACACACGGTGACACAGTGACACGGGGACAGGGACAGTGACACAGGGACAGGGACACGGGGACAGTGACACAGGGACACAGTGACAGGGACACAGGGACACAGGGACACAGTGACAGTGACAGTGACACAGGGACACAGGGACACAGACACAGGGACACAGTGACACCGGTGACACACAAGGACAGAGGGACATGGGGGGACATCAGTGACACGTGGGGACACACACTGGTGACACAGGGACACATCAGTGACACTCCCAGACATGGGGGACACCGGTGACACACCAGTGACATCCTGTGGGACACGGGGACACACAGGGGACACACGGAGACGTGGGGACACCAGTGACACCAGTGACACATGGGGACAGGGGGACACTGGTGACACAAGGGGACACGGGAACACACGGTGACATAGACACGGGGGGACACTGGTGACACAGGAACACCCCGGGGACACAGGGACACACCAGTGACACCCCCAGACACGGGGACACGCAGGTGACACCCCCAGGACACGTGTCACCCCCCAGGCCACCCCCCGGACAGGTGCCACCCTCCGTGTCCCCTCCTGTCCCTGCCAGCCCCGGCTGCTCCCACGTGTCCTTGTGGCCTCTGCTCTGTCGTGTCCCCAACGTCCCCAACATCCCCGAGATCCCACGTGTCCTCTGTGTCCCTGGTGTCCCCCTGTGTCCCCAGTGTTCCCTTGTGTCCTCAGGGCCCCCCCAATGTCCCCAATGTCCCTGATGTCCTTAATCTCCCAATTGTCCCCATTGTCCCCGATGTCCCTGTGTCTCCCTGATGTCCCCACTGCCCCCAATGTCCCCAGTGTCCCCTGGCTGTCCCCATTGTCTGTAATGTCCCCACTGTCCCCCACTGTCCCCACTGCTCCCAATGTCCCCTGGCTGTTCCCTCTGTCCCCTCCTGTCCCCTCTGTCCCCAATGTCCCCAATGTCCCCAATGTCCCCACTGTCCTCTCCTGTCCCCACTGTCCCTTGGCTGTCCCCAGTGTCCATAATGTCCCCTGGCTATCCAATGTTCCCTCCTGTCCCCACTGTCCCCCGCTGTCCCCCTCTGTCCCCTCCTGTCCCCTCTGTCCCCTCCTGTCCCTTGGCTGTCCCCAATGTCCCCGCTGTCCCCTGGTTGTCCCCTGCTGTCCCCAATGTCCCCTGCTGTCCCCACTGTCTGTAATGTCCCCTCTGTACTCCTCTGTCCCCTCCTGTCCCCACTGTCCCCAATGTCCCCTCCTGTCCCCGCTGTCCCCTGGCTGTCCCCAGTGTCTGTAATGTCCCCAATGTCCCCAGTGTCTGTAATGTCCCCAATGTCCCCTCCTGTCCCCTCTGTCCCCTCTGTCCAGACTCACCAGGAACACGGCCAGCGCCAGCTTCACCTGCTCGTCACCGTAGGCTGGGGGACAGCGGGGTCAGGGACAGGGACATGGGGACATGGGGACAGGGACAGAGGGGACAGGGACAGGGACAGAGGGACAGAGGGACAGGGATGGAGACAGGGACAGGGACAGAGGGGACATTGAGGGGTATGGGGACAGGCATGGGGACAGAGGGGACAGGAGTGGGGATGGGGTGAGTGACAGGGACAGGGATGGGGACAGAGGGGACAGGGAGGGGGAAAGGGACAGGGACACCCCCACTATCCCCTCCTGCAGGGGACACGGGGGTGGCAGGCACAGGGACAGTCACACCCCCCACGTGTCCCCTGGAGGCACAGGGGGACAGGGGGACACGGTGATGGGGACAGGGGGACACGGAGGGGACAGGGACAGGTGACAGTGACAGGGACAGGTGACAAGGACAGGCAATAGGTGACAGTGACAGGTGATGGGGACACTGACAGTAACAGGTGACACTGACACAAACAGGTAACAGGTGACAGTGACAGGTGACAATGACACAGGTGACACCTGGTGGGGTGTACAGCGGGTGGTTGATGTAATGGGGACAGTGACAGTGACACAGTGACAGTGACACAGACAGTGATAGTGACAGTGACACAGTGACACAGTGACAGTGACACAGTGACAGTGACAGTGACAGTGACACAGTGACAGGGACAGTGACAGTGACAGTGACACTCACCTGGCGGGGTGTACAGCGGGTGGTTGATGTAGTACGCCATCCAGGCCGCGAAGCCCCAGTAGTAGGTGCAGTTCTGGGGACATTGGGGACACGTTGGGGACACGTTGGGGACACTTTGGGGACACTTTGGGGACACGATGGGGATGCAGCGGTGGCAGGCAGGGGACACCTGGGGACAGCCAGGTGTGCAGTGCTGCCACGGAGGGGACACGGGGACAGTGGGGTGGCCTCGGGGGGACGGGCAGGTGGCCCAGGTGACAGTGACACCTGGACGATGTCACACAGGATCAGGGCTGGATAGGGACAGGAGGTGACAGAGGTGACACAGGGGACACTGAGGTGGCCCAGGTGACAGTGACACCTGGACGATGTCACACAGGATCAGGGCTGGATAGGGACAGGAGGTGACAGAGGTGACACAGGGGACACTGAGGTGACCCAGGTGACAGTGACACCTGGACGATGTCACACAGGATCAGGGCTGGATGGGGAAAGGGGGTGGCAGAGGTGTCACAGAGGTGACACAGAGGGGACCTGGAGGGGACAGGGGTGACACAGGGGGACACTGAGGTGACCCAAGTGCCCAGGACATGCCAGGGAGGTGACCCAGGTGACAGTGACACCTCAGAGATGTGGCACAGGATCAGTGCCACGCCAGAACTGGGGGGGACAGGGACGGGGACAGGGAGGGGACAGGGACAGGGAGGGGACAGGGCGGTGCTGGGGCAGTACTGGGGGTGTGACACAGGTGACAGAGGTGGCACACAAGTGACAGAGGTGACACAGGTGTCACACCTTGAAGATGTTGCGCAGGGGCATGGTGCCGTGCGAGAAGCGGTGCACGAAGAGCGCGTGAGAAGGGATGGGGACAGGGACAGGGACAGGGCAGTGCTGGGGGTGTGACACAGGTGACAGAGGTGGCACACAAGTGACAGAGGTGACACAGGTGTCACACCTTGAAGATGTTGCGCAGGGGCATGGTGCCGTGCGAGAAGGGATGGGGACAGGGACAGGGACAGGGCAGTGCTGGGGGTGTGACACAGGTGACAGAGGTGGCACACAAGTGACAGAGGTGACACAGGTGTCACACCTTGAAGATGTTGCGCAGGGGCATGGTGCCGTGCGAGAAGGGATGGGGACAGGGACAGGGACAGGGCAGTGCTGGGGGTGTGACACAGGTGACACAGGTGTCACACAGGTGGCAGAGGTGGCAGTGTCACCTTGAAGATGTTGCGCAGGGGCACGGTGCCGTGCGAGAAGTGGTGCACGAAGAGCGCGTGAGAAGGGATGGGGACAGGGACAGGGACAGGGCAGTGCTGGGGGTGTGACACAGGTGACACAGGTGTCACACAGGTGGCACAGGTGACACAGGTGTCACACCTTGAAGATGTTGCGCAGGGGCATGGTGCCGTGCGAGAAGGGATGGGGACAGGGCAGTGACACCGGTGCCAGGGCGGTGCTGGGGGTGTGACACAGGTGACAGGGGAGTGACACAGGTGTCAGGTGTCACACAGGTGGCAGAGGTGACACAGGTGTCACACCTTGAAGATGTTGCGCAGGGGCATGGTGCCGTGCGAGAAGCGGTGCACGAAGAGCGTCTCCAGCAGCCGCTTGACGTAGTGGAACGAGTGGCAGCAGCACGCCAGGCTGGGGACAGGGGACATTGGGGACAGTGGGGACAGTGGGACACACCTGGGACACCTCCCCCCTGTCCCCAGCACCTCGCCGGTGTCTCCACGATGTCCCCTGCAATCCTCCATTGTCCCCAGTGTCCCCCAGTGTCCCCAGTGCCCCTGATGTCCCCAATACCTTCCCAGTGTCTCCAGTGATCTCTCTGTCCCCAGTGTCCCCCCAATATCTCCAATGTCCCCAAAGTCCCCAACATCACCAATGCCCCAATGTCCCTGACGTCAACCCAGTGTCCCCACGGTGTCCCAAGTGTCCCTGCAATGCCCCTAGTGTCCCCAGTGTCTCCCAAGGTCCCCAAGGTGTCCCCAGTAGCCTTGATGTCCCCAATCTCGCCCAATGTCCCCAATGTCCCCCCGCTGTCCCCATGGTGTCCCCACTGTCCCTGGTGTCCTCGCAGTGTCTCCGGTGTCCCCAAATCCCTATAGTGCCCCCAAAGTGTCCCTGGTGTCTGCAGTGTCCCCAGTGTCCCCCTGGTGTCTCACTGGACCACGCGGTGCCGGCTGGCGGTGACTGTCCCCAGTGTCCCCAATGTCCCCAGTGTCCCCAGTATCCCCACAATGTCCCCAGTGTCCCCAGTGTCCCCATTGTCCCCATTGTCCCCACAATGTCCCCATTGTCCCCCGGTGTCTCACTGGACCACGCGGTGCCGGCTGGCGGTGACTGTCCCCAGTGTCCCCAATGTCCCCAGTGTCCCCAGTGTCCCCGATGCCCCCAGTGTCCCGAATGTCCCCAATCCCCACAGTGTCCCCATTGTCCCCAGTGTCCCATTGTCCCCAATCCCCCCAGTGTCCCCATTGTCCCCACAATGTCCCCAGTGTCCCTGGTGTCTGCAGTGTCCCCATTGTCCCCCTGGTGTCTCACTGGACCACACGGTGCCGGCTGGCAGTGACTGTCCCCATTGTCCCCAATCCCCCCAGTGTCCCCAATGTCCCCAGTGTCCCCAATCCCCCCAGTGTCCCCAGGACAGTCAGGGACACCTGGGACACCTGGGACAGGTAAATGAGGAGAGGGCCCGCGTACTCCGTCAGGAACACCTGGGACAGGGACAGGTGAGAGGGGACAGGGACACCTGGGACAGGTGAGGGACAGGGGACAGGGACAGTCAGGGACACCTGGGACAGGTGAGGGACAGGGGACACCCAGGAGCAGGGACAGAGAGACAGAGAGGGACAGACGGACACAGAGACACAGGTGGCACACACAGGTGGCACAGGGGGTGACACAGGGGATGACACACGTGACACAGGGGGTTACACAGCTTACATGGGGTGACACAGCGGACACGGTGGATGACACGGGGTGACACAGGAGACACACAGGTGACACACAGGTGACATGGGATGACACAGGTGACACAGGGGATGACAGGAGGTGACACAGGGGTTACAAAGGTGACACACAGGTGCCACAGGTGCCAGCCCCTCACCGTGACCCAGCTGATCTGCGCCCCCAGGTCCCAGAAGTAGAGCGTGGCCGTGGTGCCCACGGGCAGCGACTGCAGCACGTCCTCGTCCTTGAGCGAGCGCCCCTCTGCGGAGAGCACAGCTGGCACAGCTGGGGCACAGCTGGCACAGCTGGCACAGCTGGCACTGCCAGGGCACAGCTGGGGCACCACTGGGGCACCGCTGGGGCACAGCTGGCACACAGCTGGGGGATACCCCTGGGACACCCCTGCACACATCTGGGAGGTACCTGAGCATACCTGGCACAGCTGGAGACACCCCTGGGACACCCCTGGGGACACACCTGGGGGCACACCTGGGGGCACACCTGGCACACACCTGGGGACATCCCTGAGGGATACCTGAGGACACCTGGGACACAGCTGCCACACATCTGGGGCATACCTGACACACCTAGGGCACATCTGGGCACACCTGGGGGCACACCTGGCACAGCTGGGGACATCCCTGAGGGACACCTGGGACACACCTGGCACAGCCCCAGCACTCCTTGCACACCCCTGGCACACACCTGGGGACACACCTGGCACAGCTGGGGACATTCCTGGGGACACCTGGGACACCTGGGGGGTGCTTGGGGACACCTGGGGACATCCCTGGGGACACCTGGGGACATCCCTGGGGACACCTGGGGACAGTTGGGGGACACTGGGCACAGCTGGGGACACGTGGGGATACCCCTGGGGACAGTTGGGCATGCCTGGGGACAGCTAGGGACAGCTGGGGACACCCTGGGGACACCCTGGGGACACCTGGGGACATCCCTGGGGACACGTGGGGATACCCCTGGGGACAGCTGGGGACAGCTGGGGACACCTGGGGACAGGCAGGGCGCGGTGGCACTCACTGGGGTCCAGGCGCAGGGACTGCCTCGCCGGGTACCACTGGGGATCTGTGGGACAGAGGGACAGCGGGTGGCACCAGGGGACAGGGATGGTGGCACAGGGGGGACAGCGGGTGGCACCAGGGGACAGGGATGGTGGCACTGGGGGGACAGCGGGTGGCACCAGGGGACAGCGGGGGTGGCACTGGGGGGACACGGCCACAGAGGGACAGCAGGTGGCACGAAGGGACAGCAGGGGTGGCACTGTGAGGACACAGCCCCATGGGGACAGTGGTGGTGGCATCGTGGGGACAGGGACAGTGGCACTGTGGGGACAGAGATAGTGGCACCAGGGGACAGCAGTGTGACATTGAGGGGACAATGGGGGTGGCACTGAGGGGACAGCAGTGCTGGCACTGAGGGGACAGTGACAGTGGCACTGCAGGGACAGGGCCACCGAGGGGACAGGGACGGTGGCACTGTGGGGACAGGGCCACCGAGGGGACAGGGACAGTGGCACTGTGGGGACACAGCCCCATGGGGACAGCCAAGGGGGACAGGGCTCCATGCTGGGCTCCGGTGACAACGGTGACCGTGGTGGCCCTGGGACAAGTCCCGGGCCATGACAGAGGTCCCCATGGCTCAGTGACACGGTGACATCTCCCCATGGCCTGGTGACATGTCCCAGCCACACTGAGGGTTCCCATGGCCCTGGGGGTGCCCATCTTTGTCCCTGTCCCCCTGTCTCCATCCCCATCCCTGTCCCCTGTCCCTGTCCCTTCCCTTCCCTGTCCCCTGTCCCTGTCCCTGTCCCCTGTCCCTGTCCCTGTCCCTGTCCCTGTCCCTGTCCCTTCCCTGTCCCCTTGTCCCCATCCCTGTCCCTGTCCCCACTCACGGCTCTTGCTGAACAGGTTTTTGATGTCGGCCACCGTGGCCTGAGGCTCCCCCTGGGGACAGTGACAGCGCTCAGGGGACACGGGGACAGCGCCAGGCCACCCGTGTCCCCTCCTGGCCACCCGTGTCCCCTCCAGCCACCCGTGTCCCCTCCCGGGCTGTCCCCATGTTCCCCCGTGTGCCTGTGTCCCCATGTCCCGTCCCTGTCCCTGTCCCTGTCCCCTTGCCCCCATCCCTGTCCCTGTCCCCACTCACGGCTCTTGCTGAACAGGTTTTTGATGTCTGCCACCGTGGCCTGAGGCTCCACCTGGGGACAGTGACAGCGCTCAGGGGACACGGGGACAGCGCCAGGCCACCCGTGTCCCCTCCAGCCACCCGTGTCCCCTCCAGCCACCCGTGTCCCCTCCCGGGCTGTCCCCATGTTCCCCCGTGTGCCTGTGTCCCCATGTCCCCATGTCCCCCCATGTCCCATTGTCCCCCTGTGCCCCCACGTCTCCCTGTGCTGTCCCCATGTCGTCCCATGTCCCCTCATGCCCCCCCGTGTCCCTCTGTCCCCCCCGTCTCCCTCTGTCCCCCCGCGCTGTCCCCATGTCCCCTCCTGCCCTGTCCCCGTGTCCCCCCATGTCCCCCAAATTTCCCCAAATCCCCAGTTTCTCCCTGCTGCGCGCGTCCAGGATCTCCACCTCGAAGAAGAGCACGGGGCACTTGCGGGGGCGGCGCGCGGGGCCCCCCGCGGGCCACAGCGGGGACAGCGGGGACAGCGGGGACAGCGGGGACAGCGGGGCCACCGCGCCGCCCTCGCGGGCAGCCACCGCCAGCGCCATGACACCCGATCGGCGCGACAAATATAGCCCGGTGGCCCCGGGCGGCCCCGGCTGGCCCCGGGTGGCCCGGGGGTGGCCCGGGAGTGGCTCAGGGGTGGCACTAGGGGTGGCTCGGGGGGTGGCCCCGGGTGGACCCTGGTGGCACTGAGGGTGGCCCGGGAATGGCCCGGGAGTGGCCCTGGAGGTGGCACTGCAGGCGGCCCCGGCTGGCCCCGGGTGGCCCGGAGGTGGCCCGGGGGTGGCCCGGAGGTGGCCCGGGGGTGGCACTAGGGGTGGCTCGGGGGGTGGCCCCGGGTGGACCCTGGTGGCACTGAGGGTGGCCCGGGAATGGCCCGGGAGTGGCACGAGGGGTGGCCCGGAGGTGGCACTGGGGGTGGCTCTGGAGGTGGCACTGGGGGTGGCCCCGTGGTGGCACTGGGGGTGGCCCGGAGGTGGCACTGGGGGTGGCCCGGAGGTGGCCGCGGGTGGCCCCGCGGTGGCACTGGGGGTGGCCCTGGGGGTGGCCCTGGGGGTGGCCTTGGAGTGGCACAGGGGGTGGCACCGGGCATGGCACTGGAGGTGGCCCCGGGTGGCCCCTGGTGGCTCGGGAGTGGCTCTGGAGGTGGCACTGGGGTGGCTTGGAGATGGCCCGGGGGTGGCCCCTGGTGGCCCTGGAGGTGGCCCCGTGGTGGCTTGGAGGTGGCACTGGGGGTGGCCCGGGGGGTGGCTCCTGGTGGCACTACGGGTGGCCCCGTGGTGGGACTGGGGGTGGCCCGGGGGTGGCCCCGGAGGTGGCCCTGTGGTGGCACTAGTGGCGGCCCTGGAGGTGGCTCGGGGGTGGCCCCGTGGTGGCCCAGAGGTGGCCCGGGAGTGGCCCTGGAGGTGTCCCCATGGTGGCCCTCGGGGTGGCCTTGGGGTGGCCCCGTGGTGGCCCTGGCGGTGGCCCCGGAGGTGGCCCTGGGGTGGCACTGGGGTGGCCCTGGGGTGGCACTGCCAGGGGGGCAGGGACAGCTCCGTGGGGGCTGTCCCTGCCAGGAGCCACCCCGGGAACGGTGACAATGACGGTGACAGTGGCGGTGACAGTGGCGGTGGCACTGACAGTGACACTGACTGTGACACTGACAGTGGCTCCACTGTGGGGCAGCGGGGCCCTCCCGGGGTCACCGCGGCCCTGCTGCGACCTCGGGGGCGGCGGGGCCCGCCCGGGACCCTCCGGGACCCTCCGGGACCTTCCAGAACCTTCCGGGACCCTCCGGGACCCCCGGGAGCCCAAGCCCCGCCCCTTCACCGAGACCACGCCCCCTCACCGAACACCTTCACTGAGGCCCCGCCCCTTCGCTGAGGCCCCGCCCAAAACTCCGCCCCGTCGCCCTCAGCCGCCGTGCCTTGGCGCGCACGCGCACACCGCGCCCCGCCACCGAACACCTTCGTTGAGGCCCCGCCCCTTCGCTGAGGCCCCGCCCAAAACTCCGCCCCGTCGCCCTCAGCCGCCGTGCCTTGGCGCGCACGCGCACACCGCGCCCCGCCGCGCATGCGCACGGCGCGTCCCCCTTGCCCCGGGGCGGAACGCGCGGGTTCCGCGGGGGCCGCGGCGATGGCGCCGCGCGG